GTCACACTCGACGTCACCGTCGTGACATGATCAAGCTCATAATCCGGTCTGCGTGACAACGCATCAGCTAACGCATTCTGCTTTCCTGGCTTATCTTTACCTCCGGGTTATATCCTTCGAATAAATTGAGCCACTTGGCCATCCTCTGCGATTGGTGAGGCGACTAAGTAGCAGTGCGTAGTCTCGCATGATCTGTGTAGATCACAAACGATCTCTGAGTCAAGCAGGTGCACCTTGACCTTGACAAGTGCATACTTCATCGCAAATACTTCCTTATCGTGGACTGGATATTTTTCTCTCCACAGCCTTGAGCTGGCGAGATCCGAACGCGATCACTCGATTTCGCCCCTCGGTGTCTGCTTGCAGCAGTGCACAGCCGATGGCAAAGTCCGAAGCATCATAGACGGCACTAAAAGGACGATCGGGGTCTGGCAACGCCAGCTTTGGTGCATGAAGGAGGCTGTCTTTTACCATGTCAGAAGCCCCCTCCGATGCAACACCATTTCGTATCCTTCTTATGGAGATTCAACTATGGCCGTGTCATTTCCGCATAATTTGCGCTATACTTATGGAAGTAGTTGGCGAGGCCAAGCCACATGAGCAAATCCTTTTAGTTCGTTGGAACCGGCCGGTTCACAATGGCCTTGACCGCCACGCTTCCCAATGAAGCACCCTAAAATGGGAATTTTGTCCGCACTTATCTGCGTTAGTATTAGCTTGTTCGTGCGCATGCAATCGAGCACCGCTCTCAAACGGCCGATGTGGATTATCTCATCTGTCCTCCTGTTTTCCGCACGACTGTAGATGAAGACGTCGAAGTATGTTTGTGCATACGCCCTGGTGGGCCTGAACATTTGCGTCGCAAGACGATAAAATGTTGCGGGGGCATTTGACAGCCCTAAAGGCATCACCAGCCATTACAGAGCTTCCTGCTCGGAGTACTCGCTGCTGTCACCGGAATATCACTCACTCTCATGAGTAATTGGTAATAACTATCGACCAAGTCGAGTGCGCTGTACTTTATAAAGCCAACCATATTGTTCCGGAAACATCCCTCCTAGAAATCGGCGTCTGTCCTGGAATGATGGTAGCGTTTAGCTTATTGTAAGCGTGAACGATGCGCCACTTGCCGTTCAGCTTCCGAACACAAAACGTGGGTATCGAATGGGAGACTTA